CATCCTTCATAACACAACTAAAAAATTAATATTTGCAGGTTTTTTCTAGGGCAATGATTGAACGAAGTTCTTCTGATATATATCTTGTAATTCTTCTTTCTTATATGTATTTAGTGTTATTTTTTTTTTAATTTTGTTTTCTTTGTAATTAAAATGTCTGTTTTGGCCTGGAGAGCTCACACAATGAACTGATGTGATTATTTCTTTTGTATAAATTTTTTAATTGGAATAAATAAATAATAATTAACTAACAGTCTATTTCCTATTAATCAGTAAACAGTTAAAATTAAAGTATTTTTTGAATTATCTTCTTTCTCATTTAAATTCAAACTAAAATTATTAACTTTAGGTATAGGGAATGCTCAATTCAAATGAAACTTTAATTAGGGTACTTTTAAATAGCAATAGTGTATTCAATTAAAAAAAAATGATATATTTGAGTTTTTACTCACCCTATACAGATTTGTTTTGAAATGAAAAAAGTAGTTCATCGGCATAAAATGTTGACTAATATCGAAAACCTTTTACCTCAAAAAACTTGATTTTCATTTGTTTCTGTTGCAATATACAATACGATTTTCATATAAAACTGGTTATAGCGTTTGAAATACCCTGTATAATCTCATACTATTTGGTATTGGTGTAATGGGAAAAGCAAGGGCAAATCAAATATAAAATTGAGTGGCGTATTAATTTAAAATGTCTACATTTAAATGTTGTGGCAAAGAATTTAAAAATTTCCTTGGTGTAACGTGTTCAGGAGTTTTTCACCCCAGTTGTCTAGATAGGGACGTGAAACATGCAATTAAACTTCGAAATCAACAAATTTATTGTTTCCAGACATGTCAAATTAAAAACAATGATGAAGAAGAAGCAAATGTTAAAGAATATGAGGTAGAAATATATACACTTAAACATACTTTGGAATAAAAAATAAAGATACATCAAAAGATTAAAAAGGGGTACTCAAAGCTATAAAGATATGGTACTAGAAGCGGAAGATAAATTCATTGAAAAGCTTTCAAATCAATTAAAAAAAAATGGAAAATTTAAAATTAAAGCTTGATTCATACGAAAAAATAAATACTGAATATTCTGAAAACTTAATGACAAAAGATGAAGCTGTGTTGAAATTGAATAAGGACATTGATGATCTGAATAAATTAAGTAAAAATATGGTTACCACGATAAAGCATTTTATAAAAAGAAAATGAAACACTCCAGAATGATGTAAAGAAAATTAGTAAGAAATATGTCAAGAAGTTGGCAAATTTAAAAAACGAAATTTCTAAACTAGAAGCTTCAAACAAAAATATGGAAAATGCACTGCAAAAACTAAAAAATCAGAAAGAAGTTATATTTAGTCCAAAAAATGTAACAAGTGTAACTTTTACAAAGAGTCCTAGGCAAATTTTGATACTGACTAATGAGACCGGTAGAGGATTAGATAGGGAATTAAGAAAAAGGTATTCCGGAGTAAATATCAAAATTCAGATGATTATAAAACCCGGTGCGCAATTCGTTAGTGTAATAGAAGATGTTTGAAAATTTATCAAAAAATTTTACGGCCCAAGATTTCATCATTGTAATGGCTGGATCCAATGACTTTTTCAGTAAACGATATCCTAGTATTAAGAATATAAATTACAAATTAAAAAGTTGTACACAAACAAATTTCATTATTATCTGCTTCCAGTCCTAATAAAGAATGCGCCCACAAGTCTCCAAATGTAATAATAAGTTATTTAGTTTTCTGGAAGTCTTTAATAGGTATCACGAAAGACCTGCTATTTTTTTAAATACCAACTACAATAACGTTAATAAATTAAACAACAATCAAATATCCTGCATACTAAAAAAAGAAAAGACTCCTAAAAAACCTGCATCAAATTTAATTTTTATTAAAACCAGGACAGGGATTCTTATGTGCGTACTCAACACGTAACGAATCAAATAGAGAGAGACATTACATACAAATTGCATTCTGTGGAACGAAGATAGAAGCTTCTCAACACGTCTCGAAAAGAAAGATGAGAATCCCACTGCAGTAGTCGAATGTCAGACTGTAATCAGACATATAACAATTTGGATGAGATGAAACTTTAGTTGATAATGATAGTATCGAGGATTTTTCTCTAAAAACATAATTGGTAAAATTGTGAACAATCATGATGTGGATGTTAAGTTTAGGATAATAAATGTAAATGTACAGTCATTAACAAATAAAACTAACCGGATTGAATTAATTATAAATCAAAAATCGCCAAATATCTTATGCCTTTCGGAGACCTGGTGTCATGATGATAATATCAATATATTTTGTTTTGATGGATACCATCAGGCCGCATTCTTTAATAGGACTGATAAGAATCATGGTGGTGTCTTGATACTTGTAAAAAAATCTTTGTTGTATGATATACCGCGATTTATTAGTGACAAAAGGAAGAGTTAAATTTTGAATTACGTTTAGTTTAAATGGACTTGGGTATTGTTTGTTAACTATTTATCGGGCCCCAACAGGTAATCTTGATACGTTTTTTAATAAGATGTATATGCTTCTTAATTATTGTTATAGTCATTTCAAATATATCATAATTTGTGGAGATTTCAATATTGATTTTTTAAAAGATTCACGAGAAAAAGTTTTATTAGTTGATTTGATGAAGTGTTTTAACTTGCGTTGTTTAAATAGAGAACCAACTAGAATTTGTACTGACAAAAACGGTAAAACTAAAATTGATTATTTTCTCACACACTACCTTTCTACATATACGGAAACCGTGGTAGACCTCTGTATTGGAGATCACCTAGCAATTGACGTGTCATTAAATTATAAAAAGGAAAAATGTTATGTAACTGATATTAATGAAAAAATACATTTTAGAGACTTATCAGAGACTTAACCTGCAGCAAAAAATAAGTTATGAAAATTTTGATAACATAAATCTTGCCTATGAAACATTCTTAAATATTCTAAATTACTATATAGAAGTAAATTGTCCGGTTGTCACAAGAGCTGTTAAGACAAATAAAAAAAAATAACTGGATAACCCCAGATATTTCGAGGATGGGAGCTGATATAAGGAATTTATTTTGGTTAGCAAAAAATTCTAATGATGTGAATATACATATTAGATACAAAGAAGCAAAGAGACAAATGTCAAGTCAATAATATAAATGTAGCAAAAAGATCTCATTTTCAAAAGGGATTGCACAATAAAACTTTTCAGCAAAAACAAAAATATATATGGAAAAGGGTAAATCACCAAGATGTTAAAACATCAAAAGGTTCTCAAATTAAACAAATTGAAGTAGGAGGACTGTCAATTATTGAACCAAAACAAATATCTAAAGTTTTTGCAGAGCATTTTGCCAACTCCACAAAAAAAGCACTACAGTCTCATTTCAATGATTTGAATTTTAAAAATTTTGCTGCGTCCTGTTGATCATCGTGATGTAATTGAAGTTATTCACTCATTAAAAAATATTAACTCTATGGGCATTGACTGCATTTTCACAAAGATAATAAAACGTATTAGTCATCAAATCTCTCAAATTCTAGCAGACTTAATCAATCAGTCTATTCAGCTAGGTATTTTCCCAGATTATCTGAAAGTGCTTTAGCATATTCTCATATATCATACAACATTATTCTTTGGGGTGATGCAGTCAATGCGTCTAAAATATTTATCTTACAGAAAAGAATAATCCGGCTTATTCTTAATCTAGAATTAATGCAAACTTATAAATATAACTTCAAAAAATTTAAAATATTAACATTTCCCTGTATTTACATTTATAAAACGTTGCTATATGCTAAACGCAACATACACCAATTTTTACAAAATTCAAATTACCATGAATACTAAACTAGGAATGCAAATTTATTCAGAACACCAAGACATTCAACAGCATTATTTGAGAAATCGCCTGAATTTGTTGGAATTAAATTTTTTAATCAACTCCCTGATTTCATTAAATCTGAAAAAAAATATGAACCTTTTAAAAGAAAACTTAAAAACTATTTAGTAGATTCATGTTTTTATAATTTATCTGAATACCATCATATTTTAAGGTAAATGTTTTTCTAATTGTATATTTTTAATGTGCATGTCTTAGATATATATATTTTTTTGTATACTGTACCTATATTTATTTGTATTTTAATATTTTTTATTCATATATATTATGACTTATCCTATATCATGTAACATGATCTTAAAGGACAAATAAACTATTATTATTATAAAATACAGGGTGTCCCATTTTAAAAAACCTAACTTTGATATGTATCACTTTCTTGCAGAAGCCTGTATAATTGAAATTATTTTCAAAATTTTGCCTTTTTTATATTGTAAAAACAAATTTTGAAACAATCAAATAGTTTTGGTTTCTACACAGGCGTTTCTGGTAGCCCACCCTGTATATGTAAACGTGAAGAATATTAATTTGAATGGGTATGCATAGCTGTCAATTCTCACGTTAACGTTTACGTTCATAGCATCACTTCATCTCTCTAATAAAACCCCGGTTAATACAGTACGAGAAACAAACTTCAAATTTAAATTATTAAAATAATGCAAAAATACACTTACCAAATATAATCAGTGTGAGGTGTCTGCTAGATTCATTGGGTAATTGGGTAGTTTATTTGTACAAAAAGTCCATTCTCCGATTTTTGTTTTCTGCGAAAACATCGGTAACACGAGCATTGAAGTCCGCTATTGAAGAAATCATCTCTTTTTCAATGCATAACATGGCAAGCGAATTTAGTCGATCCTGCTGCATTGTATTTCTCAATAAAGATTTAATCCTTTTCATTGTAGAAAAACAACGTTCACTTTCGACAGTGGTCATCGGAATCGTACAGATTAATTTTAATAACATAACAGTTTCACTAAAGCATTCAGTCAGGTTCCTATCGATAAGTAGTTGTAAAATTGCTAAGGCACTTCCGGCATGATGAAAATCTTGTCTGTCATAAATGACACACAATTCACTTTTAAGTTTTTCCTTTTGAAAAAAATTGTAGGTTCTCGTAACGGTATCAAAATCATCGGTAGGAAAGTGTTTGTTATACTCGTTGAATTGCTCAGAGAAAAAAAGTTTTGAAGCCAAAAGATGATCTGTAAACTGAAAACGATCTTTGGCTTGATTAATCAGTATATCGCACACCTCTTTTGTTTGTGCAGAAAAGGATATTAACTGATTAGGTGGTGAAGTTGGAAGATTTACGTTACGAATATTTGAAATGGTTTCTTCAAAACTGTTTAAAAATCCGTTCATTTTAACAGCATCCAAAGATCGATATTGAAATTGTTTAAAGAGGATTTCATAGTGGGGCATTACTTGAGCAAAAAATGTGAGCCAATAAATGAAACTTTCATTATTTAAATAACCTAGTAATGTCTCAGCGTGGTTTATTGTGTTGAAGTCATTTCCGGTGGTCTCTAATATACTTTCTAAACCAATTTGAAGAAGCTCTTTATTCTCGTAAATTGTTTTCACAGTATGTGTGTTAAAATTCCATTTTGTTGCTGGTGCTGTAGGAATCATTTTTTTCACTATACCGTCTAGTATGCCAGTCTTTTCTGCTGATTCCGAAAAAAATGTTGAAAATGCATGTAAATTAGCAAAAAAGATTGCCACATTTCTATTAACACAAACACTTTTCTGCAAAACTAAATTAAATTGATGTGCATAACAATGTATATAAAATGCATACGGAAATTCTTTTCTTATAAAACTTTGAACGCCTCCTTCCCTTCCTGACATAACGGCCGCTCCGTCATAGCTTTGACCTACTAATTGATTTACGGAAATATTAAGCAATTCCAACTCTTTTTTAATTTCTGTGGCTATGTCATTGGCACTATGCGACGCAAGTTTGAAAAATTTCCAAAAACGTTCGTGAATCTGACCATTTCGTTCATATCTTAAAATAATTAAAAGTTGCCGGTGGATAGAAATGTCAGTAGTTTCATCACACTGAATCGCTACAAATCGTGCTTCTGAAACCTGTTTCTTAATCTCTTCTTGACAAACTGTTAAAATAGCATCTAATATGTCATTTTGAACCGATTCTAACGTATCTTTAAACACATTATTTCTTTGCAAATGTTGTTTCATAGCCACATCGATTTCTGATACAAAATCAATAAGCTCCCTGTATATGCCCGGATTTGAACTCTCCGATGACTCATTATGTTCTCGCAATGCTAGCTCGAATACGCCAGAAAATTTTACACAGTCAATAAGACGGGACAAAATGTAACGATTTTGTTTTACTTTGTCATTAAAGTCTTTTATTTTTTTTCGATAGCCAGAATCTAATAACTGACGAACATCAACATTTCCAATATCCGAGAACTGCAATTCATTTGTTAAATGAATTTGAGAAGAACTATGTTTTTTAATTTTTGCTGATAAATGAGATAAATCCCTAACGCCCGTTTTAGTCCATTCTGATGTAGTCTTTTCATTGTGTGCAAAAACTAAACAAGGAAAACAAAACAAAGCATGCACTCTGTCACAACCGCACAACCACGAAGTTTTTTTGTATTGTTCAACCTTAAAACTACGTTTAAACTTTCTGTTTCTTAAGGCACATTCTTGAACAATGTTTATTTCCGGTCGAGGTGGTCCATTCTTTTTTATAAGCACTCGACTTTCAAAATTATGGGCATTTTCTTTTATAAATTCCACCGAACACGATTCCATGGTATTTTAAATTTAAAAATTACAAACGTATAGCGAAACGACTGTTACGATTTAAGAAAAAAGCAAAACCAATCCGCCACCCAAAAACACAAACTATAAAACGAATAACGAAATCGCAAAATTAAAAAGTTAACTGTCATATACTTGTGTTGCACAAAATGTTGCTAAAGTTTCAAACTGTTTCACTTCTCTTTCTAACCACGGGCATTCGCGGAAACCTCTCGCGTTGCACCGACTGACGCAACCAGCGACCGACAAGAGCGTGATCAGTAAAAATTAAAATGTTCCGAGGCGGCGAAGTGGTGCATCAAAAAAATGGAAAATAACACGTACAAAAATATTAAAATTGAATCCTGGTCGCAGTTAAACAGTACAGCACGTGGACTTTTTAATATTACAACTTCTTAAAAATCAACAACTGTCATCATTAAGTCCAATATCGCAGTTTTCATCTTTTTCAACAATTTGCTTTTGAAAATTATTACCATCAACAGCAGTATCACAATTTTCACTTTCTTCGACAATTTCCTTATGAACACAATTATCATAAGTTTCCGTGTATAAATTAATTATATGTCTTAAGTGTAAATCCAAAGCAAAGGTTTGTGTTGCTGGTTTATGTATTTTATTAATAAAAACATATCGTCCTCCATTATACTCGCTAAAGCGTCCAAGTATTTTCACCTAAAATAAAAACATAAATTACACAAAACGGTATTTCGTGACGTGTTACATATATTTTTTTTTTTAATTTTGACTAGATTATTTATAAAATTATGTTTTGGTAAAAAATTTCTGGCATCTAGGCAACCAATATTACTACTTTCTTATGTTGTTAGTTACAAATGATTAACTTCATTCTTTTATTGACAAATAGAAAATCATATTCATTTATTCTCAAAGACTTATTGTAGTGTGTTTAAATTGTTTTGTGCCGATTTATAATGGAAAATATGGAGCAAAACAACATTATTAATAGTTTGTAAGTTAAACTAAATTCTATGTTTATAATAAGACAACCTTCTTTGATATAAACTTACAAAAATAATGTATATTATTTATTTTAAAACCAAAAAAGAGTTATTTTTATTTGTTTCCTTATCACAACTAGTGACATAATGAATTTTTCAAAACCAGTTTCATAATGTTTAACATTTATGCAACTGATTGCGTAAAGTAGATCATCTTGACATTGTCTAATGAAATTGTAATAAAAGTATTTAGCAGCTGTATTATTTATTAGAGGATTTATGTCTATAAATGTATACCTAACTTAAATTATGTAAATAAAGACCTGTATATTTATAGTACAGACTGTCTAGACATACGGACACACTATATGCATCTGACAAAAGAGTGAATTATTTTGTTAAAAATTGCTAAAAATAGTAAACAGGTTATCTTTCTATCTAAAATATTCTGACATTTCTGTTATTTCCACTTAGATCGGAAGTAATGTCAATTTTTTTATTTTAAATGAGATATCACTTTTATTATTCCGGATAATTAACCATTACATGCCATTAAAAGATATTTTATTATACAGAGTAAGAAAAAACATGTTTAAATTGTCCAGTGGCATGACATGGGTTGATATCAGGTGAAAAGTTCCCAGTTGTACCATCATACTTGCAAACAGTGGCGGCTCGTGGGCACTAGCGGTAGTGGGGCACACACTGGAAAGGAATCCTGGGATTCGTTTTTCCCTTAGGAAAACAAGTTCTCCGCTTAATGAAAATTAAATATATTTCAAAACAATCAGTTGGGGCAATAACGATTTCTGAATGTGACTACAGGGAGCTAAATGTGACCACTCAAAATGCATTTAACTATGAATGTGGCTATTTAATCAAAAAATCATTATATATCCACTCTTGCGAAATTTGCGTAAATTTCTCAGAAGAATGCAATTTACTTAACAATGTAATGCCGGCCTTAGTTGTTAAGTTTAAAATAGGCTTAAGTATAATTTTAATATTTGTAAATATAAATCATAATATTGTAACTAATTATTGTTAACGAAGAACTATGCAATTAAGTAGGTTACCTGTATTGACACCTAAGCAATATGAGGTAATTTGTTTTAATTAGATGGTTTTTCCAATATAGACTGCAAGGTTCAATGAAAGAACGAATGCAGTAATTCTTTGAAATGTAACCCATATTCAAGTTAAAAATAAATGATAATATATATATTCGATTCGACTTTGGTTTCATTAAATAAATAGAAGATCCTAACATTACATGGCGATCCTGCTAAAAAAAAATTGAAGTTGTATCAAAGGAACAAAAAGAAGAAATTATCATAGCACAATCAGGAAACAGTGGAGGTCAAACTAGCGAAACAAGTAGTAAAATTGGAAATTGGTCAGTAAAGGATGTTTGCGAAGGAATTTTTGTAATAGCGGTGCTAAGTCTTATACTAGTTTACTTTTATCAAAAACTTAAGAAGAAGTTGGAAAGGAAAATAAGAACAGAAGTAACAAGATCGACAATAAGGGCAAGCCAAGAAAACATTTAAGCTTCCTTTTAGGCATATTTTAGGTATATGGTATATTATTATTGGAATAGAATGCAAAAATAGAAATGGGAATTAAAGAAAAGTTAAATATAACGAATGGCAGCTAAATATAGGTCATTAATAAAGAAATGGTAATTAAACTATGTGAAAAATTAAATGAAGAAGTACAGGTATTTTACAAGAATTTAATTAAGGATAGTAATAGTAGACGTAAGGATATAAATATTGTTACAAACAAGTTAGCTAAGCTAGATAAATTTAAACAAGATTTTAACTCTTTAAAGCATATTGTTAAGGATAAAGATTTAGATAGTAAAATATTAGAATATTACCAGGAAATAAATAATACTATTTGTCTAGCTCAGAAAACATTAGAAAGTAGATTAGGAGAAATTGATTCAAATCAAATATTAATTTCCGAAATGTCTGAAAAATTTGAATTAAGAGTGGCATCTACCTTGATACCGTCAATGGATGGTACTGAGAATAATACAAAACAATTAATCGATTCAATTGAACTCTATGACGCTTTATTAGATGAGCCAGGTAAAAAATTGTTAACAACTTTCGTTTTAAAAACGCGACTTTCAGAAAGTTAGATTAAATAAACAATACGTATCAAATTTAGCTTTAATTACAGATTTACGTAAACATTTTATTAGTAAAAAGTCAGTGCCTGCTTTATCTACTAAATTAAATAATTTTAAACAAAGTGGAAAATCTATTGAACAGTTTGGTAGGGTGCTAGAAGAAATGTTTGTCAATCTCACAATAGCTCAAGCTGATGGGGACGAAAATTCACTAAAAGTTCTTAAATCAGTAAATGAAAAAATTGCAATAAATTCTTTCAGTAATGGTTTAGAAAATAGTGAACTAAGAACTATAATAAAAGCGTAAAATTATTCATCATTGGCCGAGGCTATTCAAGGAGCCAAAGATGAAATGTTACCGAATGCAAGGGAAGTTTTTCAGATAAGACGAGGTACTAATAATAACATATATCATAATTTTGGAGCGAAACCTAGAACACATTTTAATAACAACAATTTTAGAGATAATAATTATAATTACAGAGTGAATAATCAACAGTCTAATTTTCGCTCTCAGAATTATTTTAAAAATAATAATAGCAATTACTACAATAGACAGCCTCACTCTAAGTATAATAATGGAAAAGAATATTCAAATAGAGGAAAATTTAATAAATCAGGATATAGGAATAATACAAGAGTAAATTTTATTAGTAACAGTAACAGTACCGATACAAATAACTATGCTAGTAACAGTAGGGACACAAATAATTTCGATAATGGTAATCCATCGACGTCAAATAATTGGTTTTTTCGAGACCAAAGAGAAAACAAATGTTAAAAATACAGTTTTAAATATTAATTCATTAAATTTTATATATGTTTCTTATAGAAATACTTTGTTAAAAATGTTACTTGATACTGGAGCATCAGTTAGTATTTTATTTACCGAATGTTTGAAATCAGATGAGTTTATATATTATTCAAAGAAAATTAATATTAATGGAATATCAGGATCCACAGTAACAACAGGTGTGGTAAACCTGACCTTGCAACTAGGAAATAATAATGTTGGTCATGAATTTTTGCTGATTAATAGTTTTGATAACGAAGTACATGGCATAATAGGATCCGATTTTTTTACGAAACATGCCGCAACTATTAATTATGAGACATTTGTATTTTCTTTTTATCATAATCACAATAAAATTTCATTAAAAATGCAATCTAAACAGGTTATTTATAACACAATTATTCCACCACGGTGTGAAATAATAAAATATTATAAAATTATATTAAAAGATGAATGCGTAATTTTACCTAGTGAAATATGTGAAGGTGTATTTATTGCAAGCAGTGTGGTAAAACCAGATAAAAATAATAGGATTCCTGTTAAAATTTTAAATGTTAGAGAAAAGGAAGTTAATATAAAAAATTTTGAACCAGTAGTTGAAGCACTTTATAATTATGATATTGTTGGTGATCAAGAAAAAAAAAATGTATCAGTTAGTCGTACAGAAAAATTAATTTAATTCATATGGAGCATTTAAATACCGAAGAAAAAGACGCGTTGCAAAAAATTTGTGCAAAGTATTCAGATGTTTTTTATTAGATAGCGACCCATTGTCAGTAACAAATATTTATAAACAAAAAATTCACTTGAAAAAGTCAGTTAAACCTATTTATGTAAAACAGTATCGATTACCACATGCGCAAAAAGAGGATTTAAATAGGGAAATTGATAATCTTTTACGTGAAAAAATTATTGAAGAAACTACATCAGAATGGTCTAGTCCATTAATTTTAATTCCAAAAAAGGCAGACTTGAACGGGAATAAACGGTTTAGGGTTTGTATAGACTATAGATTAGTTAATAAAGAAATACAAGACGACAAATTTCCTCTTCCTTGCATAACAGATATCTTAGATTCCTTATCAGGGGCGATGTATTTTTCACATCTTGATTTGTCACAAGGATATTTTCAAATTGAGCTTGATGAATCAAGTAGGCCTATAACTAGTTTTACAACAGAAAGGGGTCAATTTAGGATGACAAGATTGCCTATGGGACTCAAAATAAGTCCTTCTGCTTTCTCTAGAGCCATGAGTATAACGATGTCAGGCTTAAATTACACAAAATGCTTAGTTTATCTTGATGATATATGTGTATTCGCGAATAATTTATCAAATCACAATCAAAATTTAATAAAAGTATTACAGAGGTTGCGAGAAGTCAATTTGAAACTTAATCCTAATAAATGCGAATTTTTAATGAAAGAAATGTTGTATTTAGGGCATGTTATCTCAGCAAAAGGAGTATCTCCAGATCCTGAGAAGATTAAAGTATTGCAAAACTATCCCATCCCAAAAGATGCTGTAGAAACTAAGAGGTTTGTAGCATTTGCTAACTACTATAGAAAATATATTCAAAACTTTTCACATATAGCTAATCCTTTAAATAAACTCACAAGAAAAGGAGTATCTTTTATGTGGACTACAGAATGTCAAAAATCATTTGAAACCCTAAAAGAAGCGTTAATATCCCCACCAATTTTGCAATATCCAGATTTTTCTCCAAGTAATACATTTATTTTAAAAACAGACGCTTCAGGTAAAGCAATTGGATCTATTCT